GATGGCAGAAACCAAACATTAAGAACCATATCTTCAAGTGGTTGAGAGGGAAAGGAAGTTGTCTGAAGAGCTTCGTTGGTCCTATCTGACCTATTTGAAAGATGTTTCAGTTTACAGAACAATTACAGGGAAATACATGTGGATGGAGCCTCCAGTGAATCCCCTTTGACCAGACACCAGGGACGTGAACAGCCTTGCTGTTATGCAGAGGGCACTGAAAAGTGGATGACTGTAGATTCAGTTAGGTTAAACACTTATCATTTGATTTCCCTTTTTTTTAAAAAGGGTAAATTAATATTTTATTGTCATCTGTAATCAGATGGTAGTTGGGTATATAGTCTTCATACTTGATTTTTTTTTTTTTTTGTAAATACAAAAAGTTTTACACAGCGGATGGCTAGTTACATTTTCAGAAAGCATAATTAACATAACTCATTAATGGTAGCTTCACGTTTTTTCCTTGTTAGCCCCAGAAAATTCGCCCACCTTTTGTCCCTTTTCATAAAACTGAAATGTTGGCATGCTTTTGACTTCACTCTGAAGGGACAGCCTGGCAGGCGTCCACATCAAGTTCAAGGAAGAGCACCTCGGCGTGCTTTCAGAGAGGGCACCAGAACGAAAGGCGGGGTCCTTTTGCAGGGCCCACGCCACCTGGCGGAGACGTCAAGGAGGCCTCCGCCGCGCTTCTCTCTGGCACTGCGCAGGTTGTGCAGGGCTGCTGGAAAACCTTCCTCGCTTTTCAAGCTCTGCCTCACTATTTTGACAGTTGGGGTTTGATGAGCGACTGGGGGTCACAAGAGGGATCCGGAACAGGGCGCCAGACCAGGCTTGGACCTGACCTCCTTTTTGACCTATTTTAAAATTGCTTCAGTTTTTAATATATTCTGTTTCTTTTCAATTGGGGTGTTCTCTGTTACTGTTTTTCGTTTCTTGTATATAAAATTTGCGATAGGTGACTCTAGAGTGGCAGTACCTTGGTCTCTTGGGGGTGTGGCAGGAGAGGTTGGGGGAAATGGGGAGCTCATGACCACGAGCACAAGAACAAAAAGCACGTTCTAAAACCGACTGCGGTGGTGATTGTGCAACTCTTCCTAGGATGACTGCACTATTGAATCGGATGGCATGTGGATTATATACATACAAAACTGTTTACGAAGGGGAAAAAAAAGCATTCCATAAGGAATGCTATTTGTCTTTTTTTTTATTTAAGAACAGACAGGCCAGTTTCTCACCTATGTCTTTCAATGGTTCCACCACCTCCCACCTGGGTTCTGATCGGAAGAACATGGACACCTGTTGTAAGGCAATCTCTGCAACGACACGTGAGAAACTCATCAGTCAGACATCCTAGAAGAGCGCCTTGTGCTCAAGACATTCCTGCTGCAAGTCAGACTCTCAGCTGACGGCTTGCTTCTCAAAATACTGAACTACTAGTCAGGTGGGGAAAAGGTTTGGTTAGAAAATCTGAAACATGTAAATGAGCAGGCTAATGTGGAAAACAAAAGGTTTTATTGAAAGATCCAAGTCATGTCAACGAGGTGGCCTAAGCCAAGTATTCATTATATGCACCAGACCACAAACTAATCACGAGTTTCCAAGCAGGTTCTGAAGTCAGCTTAGAACCGCACTTAAACTGGCTCCCAGTGATAGTTAACCCATCGGCATTCCTCAGGGAATTATAGCTTTCACCTACAAAGAAGCGATTAGCTTTAAATATATATTGGAAATAAAAGCCAGTGTTTAAAATATCTATGCACAGCAATAATATGGTTCTATTGTGGGAAGTCACCCAGTGCTTGTTAACTGGAAGAAGAAAAAAAGCTATCCTTTGTGTGTTCTTTTGTCATCTGAATGTTTGCCCCTTTTAAGATGAGAAGAGGAAGTCTGGTAAGGTTCAGTACATTAAGAAATTATCAGAATAACTGTGCTTTCACATTTCCTGCAAAAAAAGCAGCATCTGTAATTTGCCACTTCCCCTCAATACAATGAGTAAACGAAGCCACTCCGGAGTCCTGGAAGCACGCAGCTGCCCTCCAGATTGACTGTGGAATTGCACCTCGGCCTGCATTAATGACTTTCCAGGCCACTGGTGAGACATGTGATTGGTGAGGGAGCAAAAGGCTCTCCGTAAGTACAAATGACCAAGTCTGGGATTATCACGCAGCCAGCTGGGCAGCCAATATCATTCTGAGATGCTTTACAGAACATCTCAAGTTAAGGGATCCTGGGGGGGTAGGGGTGGGATTCAACTTACTAGTGATTTGTTTACAAACTCAACATCTACTCAGAAGAAAACACGATGGCTAAAGGCAAAGCTGACTCTGCTCCCACTTGTTCCAAGTGCCCCAAAGCAGTTAGGGCAAGTAGGGCAAAGCAGTCAGCAGGATCAAGCAGGACAAAAACTCTTCTGGAATACTGACATAAAGTGTATGTACTGTTTCTAAAACAACTTGAACACAGTCTTAAACAACTTGAACACAAGCTAACTTGAAAGCAAAGTACCTGTGTGAAAATTATTCATGTCACCTTTGAGAAGGATGGTGAAAAATAATTCTATAGATGTGGTACTGGGTCATTCTCAGACACTGTAATGAACAGACACTTCAAAACAAACAATAAATGCTGTTGCATAATAATTCCCCACAAAATTACTATTCAACAATACTTAACTTGCTGTTGTCCTTAGGTGCCATCGAGCCGGTTCTAACCCATAGCAACCCTGTGCACAACAGACGGAAACACAGCCTGCTCCTGTGATAAATTAAGGACTGGGAAAGAGCATCTTTTAAATTTTTATTTTTTTAACCTTCAAGATCAAGCTATTGAAGGGCATTTTCTTTCCACTGAACTGAATTTTTTCTTGCGGGTGGGGGGTGGGGGCAAAAAAACACTACCATGCTTCAAAAATAACCCTCTCTCCCCGAGATTCAAGCAACACGCTTCAATCTTAATCATCAATTCCACTCAGGAGCTTTCCCTGGCTTTCCATTTCCTTACCAAATCAAGATCAAGCTTCTAGACCTAGTGTCCAACGTGCCTCGGCTGCAACCGGCCTTTCTGGCTTCTTTCCCAGTGTGAGGTATCTCATACTCTCTTGGCTCTGAAAGTGGCCTCCCTTGGCCTGGGAAGCATTTTCCTCTCCTGCACATCTCTCCTTCAGGGCCCAGCCCAAATGACAGCTTCTCCAGGAAGCTCTTGCTGTTCCCCTGGTCACCCTTGCTCCCTCTCCTGTGCACTCCTGGTACTGTACTTGTCCCTTGCTTAGGGGACACACCATGGCCTGCCCTACACTGATCCCGTGAGGATACATCGCTATCTGGGAAAAGTCCACCATCATGGAACTCCCTCTCCTTGGGCTGTTCTGCCTGGAGCGTTGGCCTCTGTCTCTTGGCCTGGTTAACTCCCACTCACCCCTCAGGGCCCAGTGTAGCCACTACCTCTCTGAGCAGCCTCCTACCACATTCCGATTTGTACCATCTACCTGCATCCCGACGGTTTACCTGCCTGACCCTTCACCTCTCAGTCTTCCAGCATAAGGGTTGGGAGAACTACACCTTCCTTGCTGCTGTTTTGATAGCAGCTGGCAAATAATTGGTGTTCAATAAATATTTGATGACGTAAGAAGGATGGGCTCAAAACATGTCGAATGGATATTAAGTTAGAAGGTGAAATCCCTGGAAAGTAAGACACCCTGCTTGCTCTTTCTTTCACACTGACACTAGCAGGAAAACTGTGAGCTCAGTAAATACTGATAAACACGGCCCAGACAGGAAACGCAGAGAAGCTGTACGGGGCTTCCTATGCTCCCCACTGAGCTCAGGCTCCACATGTACCAGGGCCTCCACTGAGAGCAGCATCTGAACCCCTGGATCCCAGCAGAAATGCTGCCTCGCCAGCCCTGCACTATGCAGACCCCAATCTTCGCAGCTCAGAGCCTGTCTGGGCCTCCAAGGCTCCAAAACCCTTGCTCTTCTTTACATATAGCTCCTCCTCCCCCCTTTCTCTGATCCCCAAAGCCGTTCCTCTAGGTCTTCCCTGAGATTGTAGGACTAGGTGGGAGTCGCATCACCACCAGGTCCCTCCCCTCTCCCTCACTTCTTGAGGCCCAGAGAACAGAAATGCTGCAAGTAGGAGCTGGGCCTCCTGATGTCCGGTCCAAATGATTTTACATGGACACAAAAAGTCCGTTCTCTGAGTGCCCTGTCAGTAAGGGTTGATAAGGTAGGATATGTGCTTCACCACACAAACACCTCTATACTGAGAGACACCTGCTCTCCCTGTGGAACAGGTGACACTCAATTAGATCTTCTACTGCAAATAAACCATCCGTAGAAGAACTAGAACCAGAACAATCCCTGAAAGTAAGGGTAGTGAGACTTTAACTCCTTTATTGTGGACTTCTCATCAGAAAAGACTGATCACAAGTAAGACAGCCGCATGAGGGTGTCCCACTCCAGCAAAGCAAGAAATCAAGTGACACGCACAGAGGTGAAAACACTGGCACCCTGAGCACCAAGCAGAAGGGCAAAGAATGAGATTGGCACCAACAGGAAGAAACCGAAAAACGAAAACCCAGCAATCAAAGACAGACACCACATGGAAGACCACCGTGAGACAAAGCCAGCAGCAGTCCTGGGAGGGTCACACTGTAAGGCAACTCCGAGGAATGCCCAGCAGGGGACTGAGGAAGTGTGCAGACGTACCCAGAGTGAAGCAGAGTGAGCAGGGCATGGAGTGGATGGAAAGTGGGAGAGGGTAGGAGGGTGGATCCGTTTCAGGGATCTTGGCGTCCATCGAGCACGGGCGGGAGCCAGGATTCCGAGACAGAACGACTCACCAGTGGCAGTCAGTATAACAGATCCAGAGTGTCTGCAAGAAGTCCCTGGCTTGACCAGACTCTGGGCAGCACCCCCTTCCTTGTACTTGGTCAGGGATAGGTCCTGACTGCTGGTTGAAGCCAACAGGAAGTACCCAGATATCTAGCCTTGGTGACTAGAAGACCACATTTTCCCTACCCCTGTCCCCCTAGTGATTAGTGGGCATGACCTCCTTTACTCTGCTGTCCCCCATGCCCAGGCGCTACGGTGTAAGCCCTGTCCACAACCTCTTCCCACCGCCCTGCCTACCAAGCATCAGCTGCCCACCATATTCCTCCCACCTGCCACCCATCCCTCCACTGAGTGGGAAAGAGGGCTCCAACAATGTCAGTAGCTCAGCATCCCCCACCCCTCCACCCCCAACTGGCCCGACGTCAAAGGAGAACGGGAGACACAAACAACCACAACAAGAAACTGAAAGGGCGGCATTAGGACAGAGCCAATGGGGATAAAGAAGATCACAACGGAATATTAAGAAAAAATTTACCCTAACAAATTTGAAACCCTGCAAGAAATAGACAAATTTCTTGAAATACACCATCTACCTAAACAAATACAGTAAGAGACAGAACATCTAAATAGACCAGCAACCGAAAATGAGGATGGTGTACTATAGCTCAACAACAACAAAATCCCTGTCCAGATGGTGTTACTGGAGATTTCTACCCGCAGTCAAAGAAGAGTTGACACCAAGTCTACTAAAACCATTCCCGACTATAGCAGAGGCAGGAAGACTTCCTAATACAGTTTATGATGAAGCCAGCACACCTGACGCCACAGTCAGGTAAGGATAACATGTACAACCTGCAGAGCAACAGCCCTCGTGGATACAGAGGGGTGGATGAGGGGCTTTTTGAGGGGAGGCCAGGGAGGCTGGGGCAAAATGGGGAGCTAATTACAATGAGTACAAGAAAGAAGAATATTTCCTACTAATGATTTGGTTATCATTACATAACTCTTCTTGATATGAGTGAACTATTGAATGTGAAAATAAAAATGTTTAATAAAGTAAAATAAGAAAAGGCATTCAATAAAATCCAATTCCCTCTACTCACAAAAACACTCAGCAAAGGGGGAACAGATGAAAAATTCAACATAATTAAGGCTATACCTACAAAACCAATAGCTAACATTATTCTCAACAGAGAGATTGAAAGCATTCCCCCTGAAAATGCCTATGATCACCACTCTTATTCAATATTTTATTAGAGAAGTCCCAGCCAGAACAATAAGGCAGGAATGGGAGTAAAGGGCACCTGAATACGAAAGAAGTAAAACATCCCTACTGGTAGATATGATCCTATGCCTAGGAAATCCTACAGATTCCACAAGAAAGCTACTGGAATTGAAGGGTTCCACAAAGTGACAGGGCATTGTATTCCTCTCCACTGACAAGAACCCTGAAAAGGGAATCAAGGAAACAGAACGTTAACAACTGGGTGATGTTTATCCCCAAAGGAGAAAATAGGGATAAATCTAACCAGGCCCACAAGGATTCTCAACGAGATGGACTGACAATGTGGCTCCAAGAATGGACTCAAACAGAACAGCAACTGTGAGGTTGGCCCAGGATGGGGCAGCGTCTGGTTCTGTTCTACACTGGGTCAGAGTCCAAGTAGAGTCAACGACACCTAACAACAGCATGCGTTGAAGATGACAGGGTGCCAACCCTAAGAACGATGATTCGGATGAGTCCCTCACCATTTCCCACAGAGAACACAGGGCTAATTTTCTTTCTGTGAATTTGGTAACCGCAGAGAAAAAAGAATTGGAGGGCCCAGCATTCTCAGCTGGAGACCCTGGGAGGAGAGGAGACAGCTGCTGCTGCTGCTATCCCGAGGGCTCCCGAGCAGCCCTTCACCAGGGGCCAGCATGGATCCCAGGCTAGGCTCCAACCAGGCATCCTCGGTCTCAGTCCGAGTCATAAGCAGGAAGAGAGGCTGCATTAGTCTGGCTACCGCCTGAAAGAAGGACTCAAGTAAAACTGGGTGGTGAAATGACAGCAGGCCATTTGGAAAATTCTAAGAAGCAGAGAAGAGTTAGACGTGGGCAGGTGCGCAGACTGTCCTTGGGGAACAGTGGCCCAAGCAGTGAAGCCTAGACAGGCCTAGATATGGAGGCCTGGCGTTGTCGTGGTCATGAGTTGGGTGGCTAATCTTGAAGCTAGCAGTTCGAAAGGATCAGCCACACCGCAGGAAAAAGACGAGGCTTTCTACTCCTATAAAGCGTTCTAGTCTCAGAACCTCACAGGGGTATGTCTCCCCTGTCCAGTGAGTTTGCTTTATTTTTTTGTCTACTCCCGTAAAGCGTTCCAGTCTTGGAAACCCACAGGGGCAGTTCAACTCTGTCCTATAGGGTCGCACGCTTCACAACTGACTCGAAGGCAATGCGTTTTGAGTTAGACAAGGAGGGCCCATAGCCTTCACAGTGAACTGCTCAAAGGCCTGGAGCCAGGGGAAGGGTTCAGACAAGCTGGCCTGGGGGCGGGTGACACAGCAACCAGTGCTTTCTTTTCCTGAGACAGCCGGTGAATCAACCTAGAGGCAAGAGCAGCCTGACATTTTCATTCAGAGGAACATAAATCAGCATCTCCCTGAAAACAGCATCCAAATCACCACAGGATGGTGCCCCCTGAGCATCTGGGATCTCGAAGGAGTTTCCTGTGGTCCTCTAGCCCTGCTCGCATCTTCTGCTTTGCACTCCTGTGTGTCTGCCATGCTGCGAGAAGTAGGCAAGACGGAGGCCAGCAGTGGTATGGGAGGGGGTCCAGTAGAAGGAAACGGAGAGATCGGACAACTTAGCATTTACCTTGTTACATTTAGACTGGACAGCAGTCACACACATGTGCAAAAGCTGGGGGTTAGGGGGGGTATCAGACTCCTTATCTATACATTGAGAGTATTAACTTTGGTTTATTGTGTCCTGGGGGAACAACGGCTATGTGCTCAGCAGCGAATGGAAAGGGTGGGGGTGGGGGGTGGGGTGGTAGATGGAGCCCATCCATCAGCTCCATAGAAGAACCCCGACCATCTGCTCCTGCAAAGATGAGACCCTCGAAAACCCTGGAGGGCAGTTCTCCTCGGTTAACTGGAGCCGCGGTGAGTCAAAAATCAGCTTGACGCCACCCAACAGCTGCAGCTGAAGCAGCTTGCTTTGTCATCGCCACAACCTGGAAACAGAGTCTTGACAAGCCTGCTTCCAGAGCTCCCACTGGGCTCACTGTACTTCTGGCACCAGCTCCCTTGCAGCCCGCGAGCTGTACCCCAACACCCAGGCCTGCACCAGCAGATGGCTGGTGTGTGCTGAATGAATGGCATCGTGACATGTGCACTGCACCTTGGGGCCCGCCCTCCAGACAACATTTGCTCTTAGGAACTAATTCGGAGGACCCACTATTGATTGGTTATCAGCAGTCATTCCAGAGGACCCACTGGGCCAGGCAACGGAGGGGAAGTGCAGAGAAATGGAGGCCCTGGGAGATGCCACCTGGGCGGGAACCCCAGGCGGATCTGCGATGCCTTCGGTCCTACAGGACCCGAAAACAAACGGGGGAAATTTTGAATCCTTAGAACAACCCAATGCTAGATTTCAAAATTCTGAGTCAATGCGACCTTGAAACAAGCTTTCCTTCTCTGGGTTACATTCGGAAAAGCGTTTCCCCTAGCCCTGCACGGCACTTCCGGTGACGGACAGGAGGGCATTCTAGAGCAAGGCTTCTCAAACTTTAAAGGTGCATACAGATAAATAAAGGGGTGCTATGAGCCGGAATCGACTTTATGGCAATGAGTTGCTTTGTTATTGTTGTTGTGTTATGTAGTTCCTGATTCTGCACGGGTGGAGGGGGGGAGACGGGAGGGGATGAATTCTGCATATTTAATAAGCTTCCAGAGTGCCTAGGTAGTCCAAAGGTTAACATACTACAAAACCAAACTCACCCCCATTGAGTCAATTCTGACTCATAGTGTCCCTGCAGGCTAGAGTAGAACAGCACCCGTGTTTCCAAGACTGTAAGTCCTTAGGGGAGTAAACAGCCTCATCTTTCTCTTGAAGAGCAGCTGGTAGTTTCGAACTACTGACTACAGGACTGGGGGCTTGAGTCTACCCAGAGGCACTCTACCTGCAAAATGCAGTCACTGAGAAACCTTCCAGGGGACAGTTCTACTCTCACACACACCGAGTCACTGTGAGCTGGAGCTGAGTCAATGGTTTGGTGGCATCCCAGACGGTGCAGGTGGCAGAGGACCACAACGTGAGCAGAAAGTCCAAGAGCAGCGGCTTTCTGACACGGTTGCAGACCTCCGGTGAGCTTTACAGACCTCCTGAGGCTGAGCCCCATCCCCAGCACTTCCCATTTAATTGGCATGTTGGTGGCCTGGGCGTGAGGGTTTTTTAAGTACTCTAGGTGATCTACTCTAAAGAAAAGTTTATTGCATGACAAGCAGATCTCTATTTTCCTCTCCCCGGAACAAGACTAAAGATGCTGTCCTCTAATTACTTTAAAAGCAGAGTTTTAAAGCCTCAATGATCTGATACAACTTGTTCTAAGTGGTATCTAACAATCATTCTTGTAGTAGGGAAACTGGACTATGAATAATGCCCAGAGTTCTAAGCTGAGTTTGGTGTCTAGAAATCAGGTGACTTCTGCTCATCTGTTTAGTTCCACAACCGTCTCTATTAGACTCCAAAAGGCTGCAACAATTACTATCAAATATACCAGGCTGCACTCTGATCCAGGGAAGATTTGGAAAAGAACTGCGTCCTCGTCCTATGGCTGTTTCCCACTGAGTGGGCCTCAGGGAGCAAGTGAAACCACACAGACAGGGCCCTTCTGAGCCACTGCTGCTCTTAAGGTAAATGCACACAAAAAATCAGACACCCTATATCCCTGTGGTCAATACAAAACAACCAAATAGATACCAAATTGAGGATACATACATATTATTCACTCTCTGTTCTATTAGGACAGATAGTACTAAGTATACAAATTGGCCTGATAACATGTTTAGTGCTTCTGTTCCACCTCCTAGTTCAGTGTATATGTAGTGCCTGGGGTCTGTAAAGCTTGCAAGCGGCCATTCAACATACAGAGACTGATTTCTATTTGCCAGAGCTTCAGAGGAAGAAGGAAAGTTAGGAGCAAGAGAAGGATCTGAAGTTGTGTGGCTAAGTGCTCCTGAGCAACTGTGTCCTTTGGCATAAGACCACAGCTGGACTTCCATGACTGAAGAATTTGATCAAAGACTACAGAAGAACCTTGATCAAAAGGGGGAAATGTAAAACAGAATTTCAAAATCTGTGGACTCCAGACTTTCTGTAGCCAAGGGGGGATGGATAAACCCCTGAAATGCTCACCCAAGATAATCTTTACATGTTGAACCAAATATATCCCCTGTAGTCTTCTAAAACCCAAACAACACTTCAGCTAAAATAGTAAAAAAATTCCTGCCTTGAGAAGCATGCTCGTTTAAGATCTCTCCATGTGGGATCAAGTGGGCAAGAGCCACTGGAAAGATTAGATGGGAACCTTAGGGGGCAGTGAGTTGATTCATGGGGGAGGAACAGCCCAGAAAGGAGAAAGGAGAGTGAGAATGTTCACACAACTGGAAGACTGTCACAAGGTCATTGAAGTGCACCTGTAGAAATGGTGGAACTAGTATGTGTTTTGCTGTGTATATTCTTAGCAATAAAACAAACTTTAAAAAATATATGCAAATGTTAAAAGATGCCAAAACAGTATAAAAAGTGTACAGTTTAGGGAAAGTGACATGCGCACTCAGAATATTAAAAATGGGAAGGAGGAGTAGACACCAACTTCAGGAGGGCAATTACACTGGGGAGAAAAGGAAACAAGAGAACGCTGTAACGATAGTGCCATACATCTTTTTTAAAGAAAAGGAATTAAAGATAGCAAAACGTTGATGTTTCTTCAAATAGATCAAGGAAAAAAATTTGTCTGCCAAGAAAGAAACTTAGTATACACACATGATCAGATAGTTTTCTGTGGAGACATTATGAATGAACAAGCAAATTACTTTGGAAGCCAGTTATTTTCTTCTTACACATGTACAGTAAACTGCAGCTGAGTAAGAATGAGTACATGAAAACTACCCTCTCACAAACATGGGCCCCTCCCCACCGGGAGGTGGAGTCCCCCTCACAAAGGGCACCGGCAACAAAGGCCGGGGAACCTTGCCCTGCGGTGATGGCAGCCCACACACGCCTCAGCTTACCAGTGTAGTTTGCAGCATAGTTGTTTGGATCTAGAAACTTCTTAACCAGCTCACAGTTAGACAAGATATGGTTTGTGGTGATGGCATTGAGATAGTTCTGAAGGCCTTTCTGCCTCTCAGCGATGAATTCACGGTCCATGTTCCCGATCAGTTTTTTGGGAGGGAGAGGTAGACTTAGGCCTGAAATCTTAAAAAAGAAAAAAGAAAGAAAAAAGAGGGGCATATTATACTCCGGTACTTCTCAAACACGAATCCTGAGTGATATAGTTCATGAAATCTACAATGCTAGGATTTCAGTGATGGCAAAAATGTCAAAGGATGACATTGTGCACTTGAGAACTGATAAAATATTGTATTAAACAGACTTACTTTAAAACTTTAATATATTCTTTAGCATTTTATTAGCTATATCGGTACACTTTTTTTTTTTTAGGAACACAATTTTAAGATTCAAATAGGTATTTTGTTGTTATCATCGGCAGCCTCATGACACCCCTCTCCCAAGATATCCACATGCAATAGTTTCTTCAGCAGAGAAAGCTTACATTGCTGTAGCTTGATTTTTCATCTTAAAGTATTAGCTCATAAACTCCTCACTGTGGAAGATGATGATTACGTTTTTTCACCATCCTGACGTTTCCTGCACATACATCCCTCCCATTCCCAGACCTTCTAGTGTAGCTATCGTCTCATTTTATTTAGTACAATACCCACGTTTACTTTGGTTAGAGATCCACAACCCGGCCAAATAATTATGCTTACTTTTCCTTTCTGACAACTTGTCTATATTTTTATTTAGGTTTTTATTCAATGCCAAAGTTTCTCTCACCTCATAGAGGGAGCAATTTCATCTCCAGGACTATAGCCCAGAGCTCTCCGACCCTCTCCACTCAGGGCTGATGCCCCTACATCTGCCGTGGGAGCTGGGATCTTGAAGATGCCCAATCTCTCTCCTATGTCCAGGCCCCACACCTCCTTTACATTAATTAATGATAATTTTAAAAAGATAACCCCCTTGTTTGTGGAGGAGCATAATCTTTGTCAGTTTTCTCAAAAGGGAGCAACAGAGATACATTGTTTGAAAGCCTGCATTTGTGAAAATCTCTATTCTAGGCTCACACTTGATTCATAGCTCGTCTTGATGTGGAATTCTAAACTGGGAATTCCTTTTCTTCCTAATTTCAAAGAACTCCTACATCGACTTCTGGTTTCCAGGGTTGCTGTTACATATTTGAAGCAGTATTGGTCCTTGATCTTCAACGTGTGACCTGTTGTTTTCTGCCACCAGGAGAGCTTGGAGGATTGTCTCTCAGACCTGAGTGTGAATTTCATGGGCTATTTTAATCTGCGGTGGTCCTTTCAATTGGGAAACTCATATTTGAAAGTTCTTGGGTATTTTCTAGAATTAGAAAGTATTAACTTCCTTCCGCTCCATTGTCCTCTACTTTCTTTTACTAGACAGCCTGTTTTTCCATATTGGACTTCCTGGACCAGTCTTCTAATTTCTTATCCTGGCCAGGGTCGCGGAGTTGGCTTCAATCAAAGGCGGTGAGGCTGGTGTTGGTGTTTGAGTCTTTATTTTCACCCTGGAAAAAAAGCTACGCCACTTTCTACTTGACTTCCTGGAACACTGCCTTCACCACGTAGTCTTCTTACAGAGTTTTCCTGTCTACTCTGCCATCTGTTTTCATTTCTGAGTGTGCTGGGCTGCTGACCTTGCAGCTCCCATAAAGATTTCTAGTCTCAGAAACCCACAGGATCTACTGGATGGCAGTGTGGCTGTTTGTTTCTGTTTGGAATTCAATGCAACTGCTTAGCGCTCTGAAAGGACAAGGGAGGCCCTTCTGACTACATACTTTCTGCTCCGCCCAAGTCCCATCTCCACTCCTTCTGTTCACTATCTTCATGGTAAAAGTCTTCTTCAAGAGTCTGATGAGCCTCATTTAAGTGAGGGATACCAAAAGGCTGGGTGGGCCTGGGCATTAAGTGGCTGTGGGCTTAACTGAAGCAGATGGACTCGCTCAGCTTATCACTGGAGAAGCCCTGATCTCAGTGTCCGTGGCTCTTCTTTCCTCTCAGGCTGGGCAGATTCTCCACAAAGAATCTTCCTGTCTCCTGTCTGAAGTATAGCATCTGGGGAATGAGTGAAGGCAGAAGTCTGGGTAGAGGCCCTATGCTACCTTTATTAGGAAAGAGTGCTCCACTGTGCCTGCACTGCCACTCTGGGAACCTCTAGAGAGTGTTTCTTCTGCTGCAGGAGGAGTGGGTGGTCAAAGACGAGGCCTGGGGGACCTGGCTGCTGCTTTTGGAAGGGTATGGGGGGAGGGGCACAACTTAATTGATTCGCAACAATGATCCCTTCTAAATAGGCTATTTTCTTTCCCTTTTATCCCACTTTTCCTCCTTGCACCACTCTCCTTCCACGTGTACATGAATGGGCCGGGCTCGAGAGGCACCTAACTGGTGGTGTCAAGAACTGTACAGATTCTTGGGGGCGGAGTCCGTGTAAATTAGTTACTCAGTGGGGTTGTTCCCTGCTGAGCCCTGCTTCCCCAAATTTGCTCGGTTAGTTACTGTTCATCCATGACTATTAAGTTTTCAAATGTTTTGTTGTTCATTTTCTCCTCTCCTGCATTATTTGTCCTTGTGGGGCTGTGTGTGTGGGGGGG